TGTGATTTGGGTGGCGACTGCTGCCCCCGCGACCCGGTAACGGATAAGCGGATGAAAATGGATGGATGGTATTAATATATTATGTATTTATATATATTTATATACTGTATATATTTATAAAAATATATATTTATATATTTATTAAAAATATAAATATATATTTTTATATATTGATATACATATAATTTTTACAAATATGTAAATATATTTTTATATATTTATATACATATATTTATAACAAATATATAAATATATATTTTTATTGAAGTGTGAACTGAAGCAGACCTTGTCCACAGGGATGTTTGTAGTACTGCAGTCCATGTGTAGCAGTACTCACCTGGACCATCTCCGAGTAACTGTGGTGCTTGAACTTCAGGTAATCCACCGGCATCACTTCATTCTGTCTGTACTGGACCTCGGTCGGGTCTGTGAGCCAGGATGGAGCAGAACGGACACGTTTCTATTTCTGGGTTCATGTCGTTGGGTTTTCGTTACGGGTTTTCATTTTCGGGTGTAAAGTCTGAACCTCACCAGGCAGCGGGCAGCCGAGGACCTCCAGCCTCATGCACAGGGAGCCGTTCCAGCTCTGCGGGATGATCCTGATATACCGGGCCAACACCGGCTCCGCCAACTGGTTCATCACAGGAATGTCCCTGTCACTGTTTCCAAAGAACAACTAGAGAAAAATGTGCAGACGGAAAGGAAAGGCAGTCAGAGGAAAACAGAGCTAGTTGTCATACTGCAACTTAGTTGCATACGAATTAACCCAGTGGTTCTCAAAATGGGGGGCAAGCCCCTGCTGTGGGACATATATATTGATTTTTTTTTTTTATCAATGGGAAAAATGGTTCTGTCCGAGTCGCTGCTGAGTTCGTTCAGGACACGTGATGAGATGTTCCTCATCTGTTACTGAAGTTACGCAGAGCAAGACATCAAAATAACCATCCTTCTGACCGTCTACGGTCGAGGATTTTTACGAGTTGATTCTCGGAAGGCGGCGACGTCGCTCAGAGCGATGAGGTCATTTCTGGTGAACTGACCCAGTCTGCGTATCCATCGTGGATTGTTGTCCATTCTCTGCTGTCGTTGCTGAACGCCAGGAAATAGGACGTCACGTAGTCGCTCCTACAATAGCAACAACAAAAAAAACAAACACGTTTCAGACGTCGGTGATTTTTCGTGCGCTTGTTTGTGTTTGAGCGCTTCTTACTCGTTCAAAGAGTCCCGGCCCTGAGTGATAACTCCCGTGAACTCCGTGTCCTTGCGAGCGTCGATCTCAAACCAGTGGATCGTGTCCTCTGAGTTTGCGCACCACGCCCCGCCTCTCAGGTCCTCCTCATCCTCAGAGCCCTGGAAACCACAGGGAACACATATGTACATACTATGTACATGCATAGAAATACATATATATGTATCTCTACATTTTACATATATTTATATATGTATGCCTATATAAACATTTTATATGTATACATATATAATATTAATATATGTACATACATATAAATACTTATATATGTATCTCTACATTTTACATGTATTTAAATGTATGTTTATATACCCATATAAACATATAATTGATATATACACATAATATTCATATATGTTCATACATATAAATACATTTGACATGTATTTAAATGTATGTATATATGCCTATATAAACATATATTTTATACGTATGCATATATAAAATTCATATATTTACATACATAGAAATACATATATATGTATCTCTACCTTTTACATATATTTAAATGTGTGTATATATGCCTATATAAACATACTGTATATTTCATATGTATACATATATAATATTTATATATGTACATACATATAATTGTATATATGTATCTCTACATTTTACATATATTTAAATATATGTATATATGCCTATATAAACATATACTTTATATGTATACATATATAAAATTTATATATGTACATACTATAACTGCATACATATGTATCTCTACATTCTATATATATTTACAGCATATGTATATGTGTAATATATGTTATACATTCATTGGACTATAGAGGTGGCGCTTTGGCCCAGAGGCAATGTCTCTGTCATTGGTGTGGAACCCCAGGGTTCACCTCCTGGGCAAGTTCGAATCCCGGTCAGGGCGGTTGGTACCTTCCAGTGGACTCACCACCTGCAGGAAGGTTTGCTACGGTGCAATGTGATTTGGGTGGCGACTGCTGCCCCCGCGACCCGGTAACGGATAAGCGGATGAAAATGGATGGATGGATGGATGGACTATAGAGGGTGCTGCTTATATACCCTCTAACCTTCACTTGTGCAAGCGACCTTTGAGCACCGGGGTACCTGCATGTTGAGGCGAGCCCTCTGTGGTGCAAAGTGGTACTGCGACATGGAGGAGGCGGTGAGCTGGTCGGCATCGATCTTGTGCGACTCCATCCCCAGAGGAGGGCATTCTGCCGGGGAGCACAGACACAGACACAGACACAGACACAGATACAGCAGAGTAAATGGCACCACCTGGAGGTGTGTGTGTTCACAAAAGTCGTGGAGAAATCCAAACTTTTTTGACTCGTACTTTTTGGCTCTTTGTAGACGCGAGGTCTGCTCCGCGCTCGCTCCTCGGCCTCCTTCAGTTTCTGCGCTTTCTCTGTTTAAAAAAAACAAAAACAACAAAAAAAAAAAACATCGTTTGAATGAGTCAAACACACTTGTCCGAGTCTTCGTCCTTCTGGACTGAAACGGTACTGACACAGACATTAACTCATCGTGAATTTTTTTTTTTTTTGGGAATCTTGAGAGCAGATGTGATTCGAAGAAAGACCAGGCCTTGAGGAAGACTCCCATCCATCATCGCAATCATTCACACGCTAACTAGCGAAGCTGCTGGACATCGCAGCGACAGAGAGAAAATGACAAACATGTTTTTAGGTCAACAGTCGCACATGCAAGTACTCACAGATCTGAGTCGAGGCGAATGTCGCAATACTGCAGAAGAAGAAAATTTCGTATTGATTATCGAGGATAGAAACGTCTAATCGTAGCACGCATACTTCGAGTAGTACGACTACAAAATACCAAACCGAAGTTCGTCCAAGACGATGAATCTTATTAAGCGTCTAATTCTTCAGAAAAATTATCTCATGTTTGGAGAGTAAAGTTAACGTTTGAATGATTCCGATTTTCCAGTCCAAGTTTTAACATCTTGTTCCGAAATGACGACATCTGTCGGAGTGACGACCTTTGTACTTAGTTCCAGAAAAATCTCTTTTTTTTTAAACTGATCACATCAAAGAATTTTTATTCTTGTTTCGAGTCAAAACCTCGAGTTCGGAAAACGGTAGTTTTTGTGCGATGTCATTCTTTTTTTCTACTTTCTATTTTCGCACCAAAACGTTTTGAAGAAAAATGTGTTTTGTTCATTCGAGCTAAGAATTTGATGAATTTTTTACTTGACTTAAAATATTTTTCTGGTTATGAACTTTTTGTTTGGTTTCGTGTTCGTGCTGCGTTCAGAGGCTCGGAAACATCAGTGGTTTCAGTTGGCCAAAAAAAAAAGCCCAGATTTTAGCGATCCGTGCAGACAGGATGTGACCCCGGTCCTGACACCAGTATACATCATCCAATCCTCTAAACCAGCGGTTCTCAGCCCCTGCGCCGTGGCACGCTGGCGTGCCATAAGGTGTGGACCGATTGGTCTGAGAAAAAACTCTTCCACTAGGGTGCAGCATATGACTTTAAAAAGGTTTAAAAAAAAAAAAGAAAATTTGCACTTGTCTTTCTTTAATTTCTGCAACACTACATAAGAATTTCTTTTCAATTTATTTATAATTTTTTATAATGTATATATTTATTGGGATTTTTTGTTTGGTTCGTTGCCGTGGAATTTTTCTAAATTTTTCTAAACTAAAAAAAAAAAACACTACTCCGAACCACAAAGAGAACGAATTGAGTGCGATGTAAATTACATAGTTTTTTATTTCACTCTCTCTCTCTTTTTTTTTCCAAGCGTACTAATGCACCACATGTGCGTCTTTGACGGCTCACATCGCCCTCACCTGCTTCGCTTTAGCACCGCTTCGAGGAGATTTCTCTGCGTTCTTAAAATCTCTGCGATCTCAGCTTTCCTTGAGATCTTCCCTAGATGGAAATCTTTGGGGTTTATTTTTTTCCCCGACGGTCACATAAACCTCGGTGCCACCTGCGATCACTTAAGCAAAAATGTGATCTAAATCCGCGAGCAGCTTCAAATCCTTATCTGTGGTGGGGGCCTAAAGGTCAGAGGTCTGGGGTCACGTTCTCTGCTTTTTGCAAAAACAACTTGTGGTTTGTTGTCAAAAAAGTGTTACGTAAGTGGAGGGGAAAAAAAAGCGGAGCCACATCTGGGTTCTTTTACCTCGCTCCTGCCTTTCCCGTTCCTTTCTGGCTCTCTCTCGTTCTCTTTCCATCCATTTGTTTTCTGTCTCCTCTTCTTTTCTCCCTGAGGGAAAAGACAAGAAACAACCGACAGTTTTATTGAAACGGCTCTAAATCAACGTCGGAGACAGCTCGAACTGTAAACTTGGAACGTTAGAATAAAAAACCACAAATGATCATTCACAAAATTTGTGAATAGTTATATATATATGTCTATAAATACATACATATATACAGTATGTCCCATTTTGACAGCACTAATAACTATTATACATATATATAGATATATATGTATATATACATACATATATGTATATATATGTTTAATAGTTATTAGTGCTGTCAAAATGGGACGTGTACAATATGGGACATATATATGTATATATATATATACATATATATGTCCCATATTGTACACGTCCCATTTTGACAGCACTAATAACTATTATACATACATATACACATATGTGTATATATACATACATATATGTATATATACATATATATGTCCCATATTGTACACGTCCCATTTTGACAGCACTAATAACTATTATACATATATATGTATATATGTGTGTATATATGTATATATATGTGGCTGTATATATATATACATATATGTATATATACATATATGTATGTATATATACACATATATACATATATATGTCCCATATTGTATACGTCCCATTTTGACAGCACTAATAACTATTATACATATATATAGATATATATGTATATATATGTGGCTGTATATATATATACATATATGTATATATATATACAGCCACATATATATACATATATACATTTATATACATAAATATGTATATATATATATATATACATATATATGTCCCATATTGTACACGTCCCATTTTGACAGCACTAATAACTATTATACATATATATGTATATATACATATATGTATATATACATATATGTATATATATATATACATATATGTATGTATATATACATATATGTATGTATATATACATATATGTATGTATATATACATATATGTATGTATATATACATATATATCTATATATATGTATAATAGTTATTAGCGCTTCAAAATGGGACATGCTGATCGCGAGTGCCGAACGTAGACGTCAGACGGACGGAATCGTCGTTTGAGTTTCATCCGCCAACTGTGGGAAGCTGAATTTTTATGTGTATTTTATTGACGATTTTCCGTGTCAAACGCTCCCAAATTTGGATCAGTCCCAAATCAAAAACAGGCGAGAAACACTGACACCTACAGTACCTGCTGTTTTTGGTCTTTTTTTCCTAGATTTTGTCATCGTAAACAATTTGAATGAATTACAATCACAATATTTGGGCGATTAATCGTGATTAATCAGATTTTCTAAAATGCTTTAAGCCGTGCTATTGCAGGGGTGGGTTAAATGAAGATAAAAGTTCTGAAGGAATTAGAACGTTTAAAAAAAAAAACAAGACACGATTCTTGTCTTCAGAATAGGGGCACTGCAGAGATATTACGACATCCCCGATCTGAAGAAAAGATCTGGAGAAAAAACAAACAAACAATATATCGCAAAATATCGTATCGTTGTCTCTGTATCGCGATACGTATCTTACCGATACGCACCCCAGTGTTGCGTGTATGCATCTGCGTGTGTACTCTGTAAATGGGTAAGTACCATATTCATCGTAGTCTTCGTACCACGTCCCCTCATACGGTGAAGCAGTCGTCGGCTCCTCTGCGATAAAAAAAAAAAAAAACAAATAAAAAAACCAATGTCAAAACCTCTTCACAAGTTGAGTTTTTTTTTTTACGACGTTAAATGTGTAAATATTTCACTGCAACAACCGCATTTTTTTACAGCCCTCTGTTCGGACGTCACTGCCTTTCCGAAGATGTCATTAAGACGCTAGGGCCTTTCATTTACAGCTAACATGTGAACTGATGACAGGCCTTTTTTTTTTTTTCACTCCTCGGCAAAACGTCGGAAAATTCTGTCGAGTAAGTGGAACCGAAGAAAGCCACAGGGTCCTGTTTGGAAAAAAAAGTGGGTTACTTCACAGAGATGCTCGATTCGTTCCAGGTGCTGAGGAGCTGCTGCTGCTGCCGCCGACAGCCAATCAGAACAAAGGGCCTTGTTATCATTACAGGGATGAACAAAAACAAGTTAACAAACGTGATACGTGATGATGATAATGAAGGTTGACGTGGAAAGAGTTACCTGGTAGAGTTTCTACGACGATCTCGGGGCTGACCTCTTTACCGTCAGGGAACGGGAGATCGTCTGGAAGGAGAGGGAACGTCAGATGGAAAAATGTCAAAGGCAACGACACACATACACACACACACACACACACACACACACACACACACACACACACACACGGGCCGAGAACTAGGAGAACGTAAGTAAAAAGTTGCGACGTGCCAGTGTGAATGAATCAGTGGAAACACGACGTGCACGGAGCTGGAAACACAGAGTAAGGAGAACAATCCAGTCCAGTCCGGAGTCAAGCCCCCGACACCACCGACACAAGACGGAGAGTTTCCACCATTCAGTCCAACACAAGAAAAATGTCAATTCATCGGCGCAAATTTTTCGGAAAATTCGACTTAAAAGGGGTCTGCGTCCCATAGAGACCGGGAAGAACGCATTTACTCCTAATGTGTCATAATGGAATTTTCAAGTCCACAAAATTAAAGTTGGCGGAATTTTTTTTTGCGGAAATGCATGTTCGGAAATGTTGTGTTGAAAGTTGAATTCTGGGATTTTTTTTTTTCCTAGAGTGTTGGACTCTCTTGGAAACAGATCTGATCCACGTTGAGTGATGGTGTTGGACGTGTTCCGCGGTGAAAAATGTTTGGCGGGAAAAATTGTTCGACAGTTTTTAGCAGGCTAACGCGGAGTCTATCTCTGTTTTTTTTTTCGGTATGGATGAAAGTCGGAAACACGGAGCGTGTGAGAGTTCGTGTCATTTACGCTGCGGATTTTATGTATAATTAGGGCGGAATCATCTGCGTAGAGTGATCATAGCGCCAACATAACTGAGCAGGGAGAAACAAAGACTCGGACGTACATTTTGCGTTCCAGTATTCTGTGTCGTCGGTCCCGCCCTTCCCGTCGACCTGGGGGGCAGAGGGAGTCGTTTCCACCTCTCTCCAGTAGTTGTCGTAGTTGTCCGTCACGAAGGTGTTGGGTTCCATCTCGTCCGGTTTCCAGAGGTCGTCGTAAATAACAGGCGCTGGCGTGGAAGGTTCCGTCTTCCAAAGGTCGTCGTCATGGGCGTCGGGCGGCGGTGTGGACGACGGCGCCCTCTCCCTCGCTTTCCAGTAATCCTCGTGGGCGTCTGTGACAGCCGGGTCGACCTCCTCCGGCCAGTGGTCGTGCAAGTCCGCGGTGGGGTTAGCAGGCTGAGGTCTGGGGGTAGTGGGTCCGGCGTCCCAGTAGTCCTCGTCCGGTTTCCAAAGGTCTGATGGAGAAACGCGAAAAAAATTTCGAGTTAGAGTTAGCATTTAGCTTGATACCCACGAGTTAGCATCCGCTGTGTTTTAGTGGCGTGCCAGCACGCAGAGATGGCCCTTTAGCGCTGTGTTTGTACCTAGCGTATTTGTCAACATGCTGCTAATATGTTAGCACCATGCTAGTACCTTTGGAGTTTCAGTGCGAGAGCCCGTATTTAGCAACGCTAAATCAAAGCTAACGTTGTTTTCTCAGCCTGTCTTTCTCATTAGGCTAAAGGATTCCCAAAGTAGGGGCTGACCCCCAAGGGGTGACGTAGTCATTAATACTTTTTTTTTTCTCACAGATTCTTCTCACCAGGGTCGTAGTAAGGGTAGTCCGTCGGTGGTTCCGTGGGTGGTTCCGTGGGTGGTTCCGTCGGGACTGCTGCAGATGAGAGTCAGGATGAGTGACGTTTATTAACTCCCACCCCCCCACCACCCTGAGCCTCTGCTCCGTCCTCACCCGTGGTAGTCGGGGGTGCGGTGGTCGTCGTCTTGTCCTTCTTCTTCCCCTTCTTCTCGCCTCGGGGTTTTTTGGTCGCGTTCGGATCCTTGGGCTCTTTGTTCTTCTTCTTGTCCTTCTTCTTCTTCTTACCTTCCTCCGCTGCCCTCCTCACTCTGGCCAACAGTCCTGAGGACGTGAAGAAAAAGAAAAAAAAAGTCGACATTTTATTTTGAAAGCGAAGACTGTTTTCGTAAAGACGTTTATTTTGAAGTCGACAACTTTTTTATTTTTTTTTATTTAATTTTTTCTCACTGAAAGTTAACGAAATGTAAACTATTTTTTTCCCCAGTGGCCCGGTAACAAATGACACGCTGCCTGGTACGGGCCCACAACCCTGAGGTTGAGAACCTTTGACCGGTACAAAGATTTTTTTAAAAATGTTTTCTTGATGTCTCGACTGTAGAGGGAGTCCAGGACGCCCTTCAACTTTTTGAGGTCAACGACACGGACGCAGCTAGCTTCACCACTAACGGCCAAACAATGTAAAGTCAGCAGTTTGTGAACTTTGAGAAAGATCGGGATATTTTGTACTACTGTGTACTATCGTGTACTGAATGCTATTTTTTTAGACTCAAGCTATTTTTCATTGCTAATTTAGCAAGACTAGTGGTGACAACAGGCTACAGCGCCGTGTCGCATTGGTCCGAATTATTTTCAACCAACTCCGATTATTTTCTACAGTAAAATTCCGATCCGTGTTCTTCCAGTGGACTTTTTTTTTTTCTTGAATCGCTCTGCGCTACATATTTTTTTTCCTACGATGTCAAAACAAACGAAGGAGGAAAGAATCCAGACGGAGACGGTCGGAGATGGAAAACACAGCTACGGTCGAGTCAATAAAAAAAAAAAAAAAAAAAAAATCACTCCGTTACAGTGAAGAGGTGAGAGACTTCACTTTGAATCAGAACACGTTTGGACCCGGAACCGATTCCAGTTTTTTTTCACCGCGATGAGTCATAAAAAAATAAAATCACTCTCTCCGGGAGTGAGCGTTAATCACAGCGTCTGTGGAAACAGTCATGACTGGAGAATAAATCTGTTGGCAAGATGCTGTACTCTGACTGCCCTCCCTGTCCCCCTGCTGGTGAGGTGTAGTACTGCACGTGTGTCCATTTCACGCCTGTGTGACCGAATAAGTCGAGAATTTTTTTTTTCTTCGAGTCGACCTAAACGGCAGTGAGACATCTGGCGGTGCATTTACACCATTGCCCCACAAGGGGGCCGTCTCTGCCGTTTGTAATAGCGCAATTGTGCTAACTGCTAGCATAAACATATGAACTGATTTGTGTGGTGCGTTCATTGACACTTGGTGACCGCAGCACAGAACCGATCTTTAAAGTTACAGTTGCTTTCGTGAGCGTTAGAAATGCAACTGCGAACTTCTATCATTTTAGCGTCGACTTGAGCTTCATGTCACCAAACTGATTCAGTTTCAAATACATTTTTTAGGATTTTTTTTCACAATCTAACATAAATTTAAACTGACTTTTTAATTTACGTTTGAGACCACTACAGGCTTTGCAGAGGTACTGCATGAGGGTTGTAATTTTTTTCTTGTTTTTTTTTTCCAAATAAAAACATCCCTAAAATGTTTAACGTTGTTGTTCTGCTAAGACGAATCAAAAGTAACAGAATTCCACCACTAGGAGCTGAAACAGGAAATTTGGTACGGGCCCACGGCTCTGAGGTTGAGGACCTTTGACCCGTACAAAAAAATTTAAAAAATGTTTTCGTGACGTCTCGACTGTAGAGAGAGTCCGCGACGCCGTTGAGCTTTTTGCATCCGCTAATAATCGACAGATAGTCAGTGACACGGTCGACGACACGGACGCAGCTAACTTCACGGCCAAACGATGTAAAGTCAGCAGGATTTACCACAATCTAACATAAATTTAAACCGACTTTTTAATTTCAAATACATCAGCGGTGAGAGAGGTTTGAGACCCCTACAGGATTTACAGAGATACTGCATGAGGGTTGTAATTTTTTCTTTTATTTTTTTCAAATAAAAACATCCCTAAAATGTTTAACGTTGTTGTTCCGCAAAGACGAATCGAAAGTAACAGAATTCCACCACTAGGGGATAAAACAGGAAATTGTTGTTGATTTGTTAAAAATACGTTTCGCAAGTAATTGATCGATTAGCTTGGTGTTAAAAGCAAAACAATGTGACGTACTTTTACGTTGGTAAATCCGACATCTCACTGAGTACTTTTAAATATGTATTGCGATACTTCACATCAACCACATGTACTGTATGTACTTCTATCAAGTATTTGCCCCACCTGCCCTCACTGCCTCCCCCGTCTCCCGAACGTCTCTCTCCAGAGGGCGTGGGTCTCCTGCGGGGACTTGATCAGGACCGGGATCAGGATCGCGATCGTGGTTGTCCTCCTCCACCTCTCGGCTGCTCTCTTCACCCTGCTGCTGAGAAACTACCCCCCCGGCGGCCTCACCTCCTCGGGGTATCAGAAGACAACACAGGGCCAGCAGAGTCACACACCGAGCCACCGTGCTGCCCCTCATCCTGGCTGCAAATAAAATAAATCCCCCCGCCAAAAAAAAAAAATCCTCTGTGCTTTTAAAATTCTCCGCCACAAAGCAGCCCGTCCGTGCGTCTGTCCGTTAGTTAGTCCACCGGGGGCGACGTTTGACCCTCTTTGACCTCTCTGGAATCTGTGATGCTGCCCCACACATCCACACAGCCACAGTGTCGACCAGACTGGCCTGCGCACAAAGATGTAGTGGGAGGGGGGGTAGGGGAAGGGAAGAGAGGTGGGTGTGTGAGAGAGAGAGAGAGAGAGAGAGAGAGAGACAGAGAGAGAGAGGTGGTTCAGTCTAATGAATGGACTCTCGGCCGCCCCGTAGCTACAGTCAGCTGAAAAAACAGCGCGAAGACCAGAGGATCTCCTTCACCTGGCTGACGAGTCACAACAGGTGCAAAGGCTCAGACAGGGGAAGAAAGGGTGGGGGGGTTGGGGGGGGC